CAGTCCCTGGAGAAGGACTTCACTTTTGGTAAAATGGAGGGTCAGTGAAAATAAGGGAAGATTGTTGCTTAAGTACAGTGGAGTCGGTTCCAACTCATAGCGACCCTGTACAGGGTTTCCGAGGCTATAAATCTTTACGGGAGCAGAACGCCTCATCTTTCTCCCCCAGAACAGCTCGTAGTTTCAAACTGCGCAATTCGTAACCACTACGCTACCAGAGAATGTATACCAGAACACTCAGGAATGTATAATCATTTAAACAATCATAGGGCACATTCTGTAAGCCTACCTTCTGGCAGCGAGCATACAGCCTTTCTCTTTCCATGAGTCCAGAATCCTCAGCTGCTCTTTCACTCCATGTCCTCATCTCTGCCTCCATCTCTGGTGTTGCTGCTTCTCTGGATAGGGTCCCACATTGAGCTAGTGCTCTTCTCTCTTCATGGTCGTAGGATCCTTTGTACCTGAACTGTAAGGTTAACTACTCCTCCCTTTTTGTTATAAAGCTTTTACCTTTACAGTTGTGACAGTTGCAATTAGTCATGATAACAGTTATTCACTATTGAATCAAAAGGATCCTATCCCCGTCTCCTTTCATCAGACCTGTCTAGACAAGATGAAAACTTTTCAGTGGGGATTCTACCTTCCCCTACACATTCTGAAACTAAACTCCCTCTTTTTTTTTTTTTTTAAATGTTTTATTGTGAATTATATGATAGTTTACATGAGAGAACTTTAGTTTTACATTCATTCCATTGTATATCATTTCATTGCCATGGTTCCAATCCCCTCCATGGATCATCTTCCTACCAAAGGGTGTATCCTAGAAACCCATCCTCTACCCTTAACCCATAGCGCCACACCAGGACTCAGAGAGTAGGGGAGGGTTTTTTCCTTAAGAATGTTTGCACAGTAGAGGCAGTTCCTGAATTACCAAAGAGAGCCATGCGTATGTGTGTCTTTCAGTTGAATTTGTAGGTAAGTCGGAACTGGTGCATATGGTTCTCTGAGGAGGCTTCAGGCTGTTCGTGGAAAAATGGAATGAAAAGATACTGGAATATTTCCATGAACTTTTTGAAGCACCCTCATATTTATACTTACTTTATCCTTACTTTAGTGCAAAGAAAGGCTCAAAAGTCTTTGCAGTGATTTAAAAGCTGCAACAAGTGAAGGAGTTTGTGATGAGCTTGTTGTGAGTAGGGATTGGGTCCATCATTTCAAAATGAGGGCAAATTTATGTCACATTAAAGGGCAAGTACGAGTTGTTCATAATTATGATATTTGCAACCCAGAAACTGCTTGGAATTAAAACAAATATTCTAAATGGAAATATTAAAAAAATGGTTATCTCAACACCTTCAGAAAGATGAGTGAAACTGCCAGTGTTGTTTACATCGGGATAACGTCATTTGTTTACATCGGGATAACATCATTTGTTTACATCGGGATAACGTCATTTGTTTACATCGGGAAAACATCATTTGTTTACATCGGGATAACGTCATTTGTTTACATCGGGATAACGTCATTTGTTTACATCAGGATAACGTCATTTGTATTTTGGCTTTCAAACTTATTTATTTATTTTTACCATGACTCTCTCTAAGGCATTTTACACTGGGATCCAGAAAACATACATACATCCCCCCCCCCCAAAAGTTCCACTAACCTATACTATGCCTTCCTGCTTGTTATGCATTCTGAGATCATTCAATTCATTCAAATAGTTTCTTTGTAAACACATTAAGTTCATTTTATGATCCGAAGTTTGAAAAAAGTCACCTAGTGGTGTGGCGCTGTGGGGTAGTGCGCCAGACTGCAAAGCTGTTTGAACTGTAAGATCAGCAGTTCAAGTTCACCAGCTGCTCCTCGGAAATCCTACACAGGGCACTATGGGTCAGAACTGACTCGATGGCACTTAATAACAACAATTGACCCTACCTATCAAGAAACATCTGTCGCTGCTTAGCACCTGGCACCATGCCAGATGCGGGGTGAACTTTAAACAGGGATCTAGTGTGGCACTGTAGGATAAGCACTTGACCACAAGGTTGGTTTGAACCATAAGGTGGGCAGTTCAAACTCATCAGCTGCTCCTTGGAAACCCTGTACAGGGTCGTTATGAGTCAGAATCAACTCAATGACACATAACAACAACAACTACTACTTTCATAGTCTGGGAAAAAGAAAAGTTACTTTAGGAGACAGTAAACAGTCATGTAATAAATACACTGTGGAACTGTGTCTAGAGACTAGAAAACAGTGGAAGCAAATAATTTAAGTGAAAATTGTATGGACTGTTGGGTAGTATATAAGCCCTTATCTTATTATGAACTTACCTGCATATTCCATTCATTAAAAATGTGAAAATGAAACCATTTAATTTTAAAAGGATGCGTGTTGTTGCTGAATGCTTATGACTCACTTCAGACTCATAAGCAGCTGTTTATATGGTTTCTGAGGAGCACTTGGTTTTGAACTGCCGGCTTTCAGGTTAGCAGTCCAGTTGCTTATCCTACAGTGCCATACCAGGGCTCCTTAAGGGATGCACATGTAGGTGGTAAAACCATAAAGAACAAAGGGAATATTGAACTTAAAAGTCATGGTAGCTACCATGGGTGAGAGGAAGGGTAAACACCAAGAAGGAACACACAAGCAGGGTTCTGAGATACTAAAGGTGCCCTAAGGTCTTAAGAGAGTGGCGTTTGTCTTTATTGTTACTGTTAAAAAAATGAGTGGATATTGGGATTGCTGTCAATGCCACAAAACCAAAAGTGTATCAGTTGTTGAATGGAAAACCAGTTTGCTCTGCAAACTTTCATTCAAACCACAATAAAAGTTTAAAAAAAAAAAAAATGGATTGGAGGGAATAGAAGCAAATACTGTTGAATGATGATGCAGGGAGGAGATTGTAATTATTGCAGTGAAACAATGAGTGCAAAACCGATGTTCTCCCATGTAATCACTCAATTCACAATAAAAAACAAAGGTTTTTTATACTATTGTGTATGAATGATATGAAAGACTGGTATGGTGCTGTGGGTTAATGTGCTGGACTGCAAGGTCGGTTTGAACTGCAAGGTCAGCGGTTTAGGCCTTACCTGCTGCACCTCGGAAACCACAAATGGGGTCACTGTGAGTCAGAACTGACTCAACAGCACATAACAACAACAACAGCAACAACATGAATTATATATTTTACAATAACAAGTGGAAAAATATAAACAAAGATAACTGTTGTAATCTTCTTAATAGTTTACCTCTTCTTGGTCATTTGTTTTAGGATTTGGTACCCCTTCTTGATTAAAAGTGGCCTTTTCAAGGACAGAGGGAGAAAAGGACACAGTGCCATTTTGAGAATAACCTGTTCTACACACTTTTCAAGCTTCCCTTGAAGTGATCACATTTCTTCTTGAGAATGAATATGGGTTTTAGAAATCATCAAATCTGCTAATAATTTGTATTTGTAAACAGGATGAGTTACAACTACAAATAATAGGAATATCCAACATTAGAGAATGGGTCAAGTTAGACGATGGAAGTGTCATTTTAGAAAAACTTTTTAATGACTCAGAAAAAATATTTTAAAGAAACAAAAACATATTATGGAAACTCTAGTTGTCAAGATGACTGAAAAATTGTTGTCAAAATGTTTCTTTTTTTTTTTCTTGTGCCTTTGTACATTCTCCCAGTTTTACTACAATGACCGCCTATTATTTTTGTAAATGCAGGCTGGAGGAAAACTTTGACTCATGAACCTATCTCAAAGACAATTTTAAGTGAGACATTTCAGAAATGTTTTACCCAATGGAATATGAGTATCTGACCTGCCACAGGGACTAGAAATGGGAAGATGTTCAGAGAACTATATTGGATTTAACATAGCTACTTAAAAGTCAGTTGTAACTTTTTACTTCATGTAAATTATCACTTCAAGGATTTTATTTTCCTTTAAGCTCTCTCTTTTCTTTATTTCAGGAAACTGTAAAATTTATTTATTTTAAACCAAATTTAAAGTAACAACTTTTAAATGGCAGAGAGCAGAAGAAATTTTGGCTGATGAAGCGGGTACTTGCTATGCTCCCTTACAAGCATTTTGGCTCAGCAGTGAACAATATTTACATGACCTTAATAACCTAATTATTAATATAATTACTGTAACTGTAAGGAGAGGGAAGGACGAAAAGTGCAAAAGAGAGCTTAATTGTCATGGATAGCTAATGTAAACCATTTATACATAATGAAATATTGGTGTACTACATGTGGCGCTGTGGATTAAAGCGCTGGACTGCAAAGTTGGTTTGAACCGCAAAGTTGGTGGTTCAAGTTCACCAGTCACTCCTTGGAAACCCTTTAAAGGGTTGCTATGGGTCGGAAATGACTCGACAGCACTTAACAACAACAAATTTAAAAACATGGACATAGGTATCAGGAGAAACAACTAAAATAATGAAGGCTGATTGATGCCTCTCAGTGGGAGGTGGGGTGAGGATGGGGAAGGAAACAATTGTTTCTGTAAATGCTTGGCTGTACAGTCACCCCTGGATGGTTTATAGGCACTCATCTCCACATCCGTGTGGGGACTGGGTGGGGTTCGCAGTAATTGTCTGATATCAGAACTGATTTCTGGCTCACAAGTTTATACTTGCTTTCCTTAACCTGGTCCCAGTAGTGGAAAGTGAGTATATTTGTTTCTTCATGATTATAAGCAACAAAAGACCAATTTCCTTGGCAATAGAAAGTTCAACTAAGACGGTGACTTCTTATTTAAATCCTCACACCTTAAGTTTACAACGGAGGAGGCAGATATAAGAAGAAGCAGGAGAAAAAAAACCAATGGGAAAACAACTTTATCCACCTTTGAGGCTTTAGACTGCTAGCCACCTTTAAGTCACTCACGCTCCTTGGTTTTGACAGGTTACATTTACCTTCAAGGGTTTGTTGCTATACAAGAAGTGTTATATCTTATTGTCATCTGGATTTTTCTTTGTTCACAGTGCGAGATGAGGACAGAGGCACGCCGGAAAAATCTTCTTATTTTGATTTTGCATTACTTAACACAAGAAGGGTATGTTACGCTACAAATATTTACAGGCATGAAGCTTTTCTTTCTCTGCCCTCCACTTTCCCAGACATGTCCTTTATTGCCTCATGTACACAGGTCTCTCTTTTTTTGCAGCATCTGGAAACTTTATTGACAGACCTACTTGGGACATGAGCTATTTTTCCCTTGAGGAAACCCCAGGAAGTTTCCTGGGATTCCACTGCTGGCTATATACCAGTTGCCATCAAGATGATTCCAACTCATGGTAACTCCATGCGTGTCAAAGTAGAACTGTGCTCCAGACAGCTTTCAAAAGGCTGATTTTGAGGATGTAGGTTGCCAGGCCTTTCTTCTGCGTTTCCTCTGAGTAGATCAAACTGCCAGCCTTTTGGTTAACAACCAAATGCATTAGCCATGTGGGAACTCTGCTGGCACATAGCTGTAGGTAGCATTCTTATTCTTCAATGTTCCTCAAAATTAAGGTATTGTGTTTACCTAGAAATTCTTCGTCTAACTATGTTTTCCCTCCAATAGCCATTCTATAGCTGTCAGAGAGATGAATTTTGGAAGCATCTGCCACTAGCCCTTACTTCTTTTTAAAAAATCCACCCAAATTCTTACAATAAAGGCTGCTTTCACGCTAGGTGCTATGTCAGAGGAAGACAGTTGGTCCCTCATGTGTCTGAAGTACATTATCTATTTTAGATTTATTTTTGTCTTTTCTTGTTTCATCTAGTAAGACAATATCCAGGTTTCAGACTCAGGACTTAAAAATCTTTGAGTCAGAGCAGTGTTTCTCAACCAAGAGGTGTGGTGGGTAGAGGATTTTGCTCCTCAGAGGACATTTGGCAGTGTCTGGAAACATTTTTGGCTGTCACAACTGATATCTAGTGGGTAGAGCCCAGGGGTGCTGCTAAACATCCTACAGTGCCCGGGGACATCTCAGCACAATAAAGAATTGGCCCAAAATGTCAGTAGTGCTGAGGTGAAGAAATCCTGAGTCAGACTAAGAACCTCCAACCAGCTGCTGGCATTTCCCCAGAAGGTTGAATAAGCATCTGTTCCTCCAATGAACATAGTAACTGTTATTGTAATAAGAGCGCTACTGTAAGGAAAAGTCACATTTGAGAGTCCAGTAACGCTAGGCCCAGGGAGAACGGAAGGAAATAAGCAAGGAAGATGGGACAAAGCTGAGGGAACTGAAAGCCTATCTTTGTTTTTGTTAACTGGGCCAGCAGTGGCTGTTTTAGATACAACCATTGCTTTCTCTAGAGACCTTGAGGCATTTTGTTTCAATTTTGAGGTAGATATTGAGTTCCCCAAGAGACCCTGGTTAAAGGGCTCGGCTGCTAATCAAACAGTCAAAAATTCAAACCCACTAGCTATTCCACGGGAGAAAAATGTGGCAGTCTGACTCCATAAAGGTCCTGTAGTCATTATGAGTCGCAACGGACTCAGATGGCAGTGGGTTTTTGATTTGGTGGTTCTCACAGGGCACCCTGGTAGTGCAGCGCTTTCACATGTAGTGTAAGCTAAAAGGTCGGTGGTTCAAACTCACTAGCCAGTAAAGATTTGTAACCTCAGAAACCCTATGGGGTGGTTCTATTCTGCCCTGTAGGGTTGCTATGAATTGGTTTGGTTTTGAGGTCCCATTTTACACTTGGAGAAACTGCGCCTTAGAGAAGCTGAAGCACATACGAGAGGTCACCTGGCTCTGTGTGGAAGCCCTTTCCAGGATTCTCCTGCCCAAAGCCTTCCAGAGCCCTTCTTGTTGATATTATTACCACTGAGTCAGTTCTGACTCATAACGACGCCGTGTAAGGGTTTCCAAGGAGGGCTGGTGAATTCGAACCACCGATCTTGTGGTTCAAACCAACCTTGTGGTCTAGTGCTTATTCTATAGCACCACACCGGCACTTATTTTTTTGGCTTAATGTTGATCTTTTTTTTGGCTTCGGGGTCACCTCAGGAAAATAAAAATGTATGTTAGCCAGATTTCTTGAGAGTGTTTTGTTTTGCTTTTATGTTGTTGTTAAGTGCTGTCGAGTCAGTTCCAACCCATAGCAACTTGATATAGGGTTTCCAAGGAGTGACTGGTGAGCTTGAACCACCAACCTTGTGGTGAAAACTGACTTTACAGTCCAGTGCATTAGCCCACAGCACTACACCTTTTAAAGTCAGTAAATGAAATTCCTGCAATTGTACTTAAGCCATTGAAGGATTTGAGGGTTTTTTGCCAGAATTTCAGATACATGAGTTTTAGTAACCAATTATTGTGCAGTACAATTTGAACAAACTTTGTTGTTGAATAATTTGCTATATTTTCTCTCCTTAACATATCATGAAAATGCTTTCATTACAAAATGAAGCATCTCTCCTAATGCCTTATTATCAGAATTTTAGAAATGAGGATTTTTCTCTTTTTCTCCATGGTAAACGAGCTGAACTATAGCACTTTAACACAAAAATGTTCCTTAGTCCGCTTACTTTGAAACACATGGTTTCATCCGTCTTGCCTCTCTTTGGTGTGAGGGATTTAAACTTTATGGAGAACTGTCTCATTCTTTCAACATCACCATCCACCTCAGACCAGACGAATGAGCTCCCCTCACATCGATGACATTTAGGTGACTCTGTTGATCTCCATCTGCTAAATCCTGGGGTGCACACACAGCAGTGGGGTGGAAGTAAGAGCCTAAGCAGAGCAGAGCTGACTTTGGGCTCCTCTGTTTCCCCATCCTGAATATGAGGGTGTTCCTGAAACCCACTAGTCAGGCAGCCTGCATGTGGGAGATGGGCTGCTCCACACTTGCAAATATAGTGAGCACTGAACCTCCCCCCACAATTCTCTCTACTCCACCAGCTTTTATAACTCTTTGCAGTGGCCACACAGAACTCAGACCACATACTCACAGTTGTTGTCAGGTGCCATCAAGTCGGAACCAACTCATAGCGACCCCATGCACAGCAGAACGAAACAATGTCCGATCCTGAGCCAACCTCACCACCGCTGCCACACTTGAGTCCTTCAATGATGCCACCTGGCCAATCCATCTCGTTGGGGGTCTTCCTCTTTTTCTCTGACCCTC